CTGGTTTCCTCTCAGCCCCGCTTTCTGCTCCCCCTCCTCCCGTTTCCGCTCCCACAGAACGACTCTAATCGGTTCAATGTGTATCTTCATGGGTTCCAAGTGCATCTTGTGATTCCACCATGTTCTCGCAAAAATAAAATGAAATCAAGAAACATGCGTGGGGCTGCTTTCACACGCGTGTTTCCCACGGGCTCCATGCTGGGCGGGCAGGTGGCTTCAGGATGCTTGCACCCCGTTTTGTGGTACTTGCCCTCAATAATCTGTCGCTTCTAACAGCTGCACAGCATTCCCCGCCCTCTCTCTTCCTGCCCCAAGGGCCATCGGGTAGTAGGTACCTACCTAGGACTGCTCTGTACTATTTTTGCAATTTCTGTGAGTCTGTACTTATTTCCAAAGTAAAGTTAAAAAAAAAAAAGAGTCACAAAAAGAGAGGAGTCTAGAGATTGTCTCCCTCCCAGCCCTGATTCCGGAAGCTCATCTTTTTCATGCTAGCTCATCCTCCAAGCAGCCCTGAGTAGCAGGTGGAGGCACATATTATTATTCCCATTTTACAGATCGCACAACCGAGGCCCGGAGAGGGGAAGTGAATTCCTCAGGTGTCCCAGCCAATCTCCTGCCTTTTCTACCAAATCCGCCCTGGCAGCCTCTCCTAGGCGCCTATGGGAACTGTCCAAGGGAAGGCCAGGCACGACTGGCCTGGGGGGTTGGTCTGTCCCAGGAGCCTCAGAGAAGACTAGCGCTGGGCCCCAGGTCCAACCCGGGTGTGAGTTCAGGGTCACAGGAAGACTCTGGGAGCCCAGCCCGGACACCCCATCTGCTCCCTGGGCTCTCCGGGGAGCTGAGGGTGGAGGAGGGACCAGCTGATCCCAGGATCACCTGCCCAGCGCTGTAACAGATGGTGCTGCCTTCGGCAAATGATTCCCACCTGTGCCTCGGACCCCAGCCAGGCTGTCCCAAAAACTGGGGAAGGGGGATTCCTCAAGGGACTGGGAAAAAGGTCTGAGTGAGGAGGTGTCCCTGGAAGGTGGGGCACCGGGAAAGGTGTGAACAGACATGGTCAAGGCAATGGCCCCTGCTCTCTTGGGGTGCCCTTAGGACACCCCCTCCCAATGAGAAGTGCCCTTGAGAATACAGGATAGGGAGCCCCACTGCTTCCCCTGCAGAATGGAGCTGCTTCCTCATTCTTGAAAGTTCAGGTCCTACCACGGGTCACATTTCCCTTTTTGAATTGGCCACAAGGAAGCCCTGAATCACATTTGCAGGTCAACAGCAGCAATGCCATGGACGCTGCTGGTCTGCAGGTTTTTAAATGGGTTTGGGTTGGTCCTTATGTCTATAGCTATTATACTTGATATTGGTTTTAGTTCCTTATAATAAACCAGAGGCCCGGTGCACTAATTCATGCACTAGAGGGGTCCCTCGGCCTGGCCTGTGGGATCAGAGAAGCAAAATCCTTGCCTGTGCTGCCCTTGACCTGCTCTTGGCCCCAGAGCTGGGTGACGAGTGGGCGGGAAGCCTGGGTCCTCTGGCCTTCCCGGCCCCTCCCACCTTCCCAGGCGAAGGCCATGGTAGGAGGGAGTTAAAAGTGGAAGCCTGCCGAAACAGGTTTGGCTCAGTGGATAGAGCGTCGGGTTGGGGACTGAAAGGTCCCAGGTTCGATTCCGGTCAAGGACATGTACCTTGGTTGTGGGCAAATCCCCAGTAGGGGGTGTGCAGGAGGAAGCTGATCAATGTTTCTATCTCTCTCTCTTTCTCTCTGTAAAAAATCAATAAAATATATATTTTTTTAAAAAAGAATGGAAGCCTAAGAAATAGTCATCATCATGATAATAACAACAAAAAGAACAGTGATAAAAAAAAAAAATAACAGCCTCATTACCCAGTAACAATCCCATGCTAAGTGCTTTGCAGGTGACATTTAATCCCCTCAACCATTCCAATGATTGTGGTCATGCCCATTTCATAGGTAAGACAACTGAGGTGCAGAGAAGGTCATAGGGAGTTCCTACGGACCGAGGCTTTGGGTGCGTGGCAGCCCAGAATCGGTGTCCTTGACCGTTCACCCCAGGACGTTCAACTCATCTGGGGGCAGAAAGGAGCTCGGGGCAGGAGGGATGTCTGTGGGGACAGACAGAGGAGAGGCCACGTGAAAGCTTGTGGCTGGGGTCCCCGCCCAGGGAGAGCCGAGGGACTGGGGTGTATGTGTGTGTGTGGTGGTGGTGGGGGGTAGGGTGTGGGGGGAGCACGCATACCAACTGGGGACACTGACTCACTCAGCTCTCAGGAGGAGGGGTGAGGGGTGAGGGGGGAGCGGGCAGACATGCCCAGAAGATGTCAGCGCCACCCTGTGCCGGCCCAGCCTGGCTCCCCTTCAGAGATGGAAAGAGGTGGCCCCTGACCCCGAGCTGCTCCCAGCCCAGCTGGAGAGCCAGACGTGACGTCATCTGTGTCCCCATCTCTGCAGACGCCACAGCGCCAAGGGCTGGGTCCTGAGTCCCCGCTCCTTTCCACCCTCCTCCAGGGGCTCAGACACCGCCCCCCCCTCCCCCCCGAGCATGACCGTCAAACTGGGGGCATGCTGGGAGGTGGGGCCCACCCTCCTCCCTCCTTCCATCATCTTTTTTGTTGATGTTGTTGTTAATCCTCAACCGAGGCTATTTTTCTAAAGATCATCGAGAGTGTGGAAGGGAGGGGGAGAGACACACAGAGAGAAACGGCGACGTGAGAGATTGGCTGCCCCCCACACGATCCCTGTCCCGGGACCGAGCCTTCGAGGGAGGTACGTGCCCTGGTCCGGAATCAAACCCGGGACACTTCAGTTCTGTGAGACGGCGCTCTATCCACGGAGCCACACTGGCGAGGGCTCCTTCTGTTGCCTCAGAATTGCCCTTCAGGCTCAGCTAATGGGTCAAAACTGGAGCCTCCTGGGGCCTGAGGAAGCTTTGACTCCCAGGCCGGGGAGCACCCCTGCCTGGCCGGGGAGCACTTCTTCGGCCTGGCACCTGGCAACCCACTGTGAGCTCCTCGGAGGCCCCGCCTTCACCTCTCTCTGCTTCCCTCCTGGGACGGGGAGGTGATGACTGGAGCGCAGGCAGCCCTCCTGCTCGGAGAGCCATTTCCTTGTCCCTGGGGCCTGCACAGCCAGGCACAGGGGCTGGATGGGGACGCCCAGCCATCACATCACAATGTGGGGGCAGCATGGAGCAATGGGAAGATCCCTGATTCTGCAGACGGGGCTCCAGTCCCGGCCCTGCCACCTCCTGCCTGGAGGCCTGGGCACCTCTGGAATCTGCTCCCAGCTCCAGCGCGGAGTCCCTGGAGCCCAGGGTCCGCCCTCAATGGAGTTTTACAAGTAGCTCTTGTTGCATAAAACCAGGTGCAATAAAATGGAACCTCGCGTCCCCGAAGGACAGGCGGTGAATTCAGATGGAGGGAGGCTGGAGTGATGGGCGATGGGGAAGCGCCGGTGGGCAGCCTGGCCCGACTCAGACATCCACCTGCTTGGAGCCCGTTTGTCAGGATGGGAGGAGCCTGAGTGGTGGGAAGTGCAGGGATTCCAGGGCACTAGGGTCCTGGGTTCAAATTCCAGCTCAGCTGCTCGTGAGCGGAGTCACCTCAGGCTTGTTGCTTTGATTCCTTTTCCGTGAATCGGGAGTGTCAACAGAGGAGTATGCCAGACTCCAACCCAGCCTGTTCCCCCTGCAGGCGCTTCCTGAGCCCGGTGGAGACTGACGGACGGGCCAAGGACCCACCCCGGAGAGCGTTGGACACCTTAACAGTGAACGAACGGTGAGGAACTCTTGGGGTCTGAGCTCATCTCTCCACAGGCGCCATTGGGGCCCACGGGCAGTGTGGGAGCCCCGCGGAGCTGTCCCCTGGGCCCGAGTCCGTGGCCCCGTGCACCTCTCCTCCAGTGCCCTCAGCGTCGTCACTCCCCGTTTCTCCATGATCACGGGATGGCGGATGGATGTTTGTCTCCCCAGCTAGACTGTAAGGGAAGGGGGAGGGCTCCAGAGAGGCAGCCGAATGCGGTTGTCCAGAGGGCGGATTCCGAAGTTGGGTTCACGCTCAGCTGGAGGACCTTGGACCAATCACCTCTGTAAGTTCTCGGTGCCTCCATGGCCTCCCCTGTAACACGGGGTCCCTCGCCTATCCACCCCGCTGAGCTTTTGCAAGGATGAAGAGCAGTGTGTACAGGTCAGGGCTTCAGGATGGTCCCTGGTGGGTAGGAGGTGCTGGCCGGCTCATTGGTTAAGTAAATAAATTGGCAAAACAGGAAGCCGTTAGAATAAACTGGCGAATAGAATAGAATCAGGGGCATGGAAAGGGAGTGGGTTGATTATCCTCAGGGGGAACGGGGTTTGGGGCAGGGGTGCAGGAAGATACGGGACAAAAATCGTACACCTATGGATGAGGACAGTGCGGGGAGGTAAGGGCATAGGGTGAGGTGGGAACTGGGTAGAGGGGAGCTGTGGGGGGGAAAAAGGAGAAACAATTGTAATAATCTGAACAATAAAGATTTATTAAATTTAAAACAACACACACAGGAAGTAGTTACGCTAAGGAACTGGCCTTGTGCCTTGCCAGGGAGGACCAGGTTGTGCTTGCTGATATTGGTTGGCCTCTCTCTCTCTCTCTCTCTCTCTCTCTCTCTCTCTCTCTCTCTTTTTTTTTTTTTTAATAATCTTCCAGTCTTTTCTTTTTTTAAAAAATTTATTGATTTTTTTTTTTAACAGAGAAGAAGGGAGAGGGATATAGAGTTAGAAACATCGATGGAAGAGAAACATCGACCCGCTGCCTCCTGCACACCCCCTACTGGGGATGTGCCCGCAACCAAGGAACATGCCCTTGACCGGAATTGAACCTGAGACCCTTGAGTCTGCAGGCCGACGCTCTATCCACTGAGCCAACCCGGTGAGGGCTTGGTTGGCCTCTTGAAGGCAGTTCCCTGTCCAGGCTCCTCTCACGGCCTCTGGGTCTCGGTCTCCCCTTTGCAGAGCATGGACGGGGAGGACGACAACGCGTCCTACTTTTACGAGGATGATTACCTCAACGGCTCGGAGGCCATCGTGATCCTGGAGGAGTTCCAGTCCCCGGACGGCGGCGGCGGCGCGTTCCGGATCTTCCTGGTGGCGGCCTACAGCGTCATCTGCTGCCTGGGCATCCTGGGCAACGGCCTGGTGATCTTCGTGGCCGCCTTCCAGGTGAAGAAGACGGTGAACACCATCTGGTTCGTCAACCTGGCCGTGGCCGACCTCCTGTTCAACCTCTTCCTCCCCTTCCACATCGCCTACGTGGCCCTGGGCTACCACTGGGCCTTCGGGACGGCGCTGTGCAAGCTCAGCAACTTCCTGCTGCACCACAACATGCACACGAGCGTCTTCCTGCTGGTGGCCATCAGCGTCGACCGCTGCGTGGCCGTGGTCCTGCCCGTCTGGTCCCAGAACCACCGCAGCGTGCGGCTGGTGTGCGCGGCCTGCGTGGCCATCTGGGCGCTGGCCTCCCTGCTGAGCGTCCCCTCCCTCGTGTTCCGGGACACGGTGCTGGCGCACGGGAAGGTCGTGTGTTTCAGCAACTTCAGCCCCGAGCACCACCCCCACCCGGGCTCCCCGCCGCCGGGGGCCCGCTGGCACCTGGCGGTGGGCGCCCTGCGCTTCCTCTGCGGCTTCCTGATCCCCGCGGTCGCCATCACGGCCTGCTACGTCACCATCGTGTGCAAGCTGCGGCGCAACCGGCTGGCCAGGACCCGGAAGCCCTTCCGGGTCATCCTGAGCATCATCATCACCTTCTTCCTCTGCTGGTGCCCCTACCAGACCCTGTACCTGCTGGAGCTGCGCCACAGCGCCGTGCCCACCGCCGTTTTCACCCTGGGCCTGCCCCTGGCCACCGTGCTGGCCATCGCCAACAGCTGCATGAACCCCATCCTGTACGCCTTCATGGGCCAGGACTTCAAGAAGTTCCGGGGGGCCTTCTTCTCGCGCCTGGCCAATGCGCTGAGCGAGGACGCGGGCCAGTCCCCCGACCACAGCCACCGGAACTCCACCAGGATGTCGTCCGTAAACGAGAGGTCCTCCAGGAACGAGAAGGAGACCGGCATGTTCTGAGACCCCCGGCAGACACCCCCTGGCCTTGGCGATCCAAGGCCGCAGCGGGGACCTGGGCAGCGCCCACCTATGCCCGCTGCATCTCACACGGGGCGGACGGTATGTTGAGCCGGGCACACCCAGGGCTCGGGGCCCCTTCCTCCCGGCGGCACGGCGGGCAGGGTGTGCCCAGGGGCCCTCAGCCTTGGACCAGCGTCCCATGCTCCTCGGGAGACCAGCCTTGACCGACGATGACAACGACGCAAAGCACAAGAGGGAGAATTCTCCAAAAGCACCGCCGTGGACCGCCATGAGCACGAGACACGGAGGCAATGCGACCTACTGTGCGCCCCCCCCAAACACTCTCCCGGGTCCCATCCCGGGGTGAGCGGAGGAGGGCAGAGCACGCCTCTCCCTACTTACCCATCCAGCAGCCAGACGGATGGATGTCTCACCCCTCAAGGCACTCCTCTGGATTGGGAGGCGGGGGGATGCCCGGGGACCTGGGAGAGGAAGGTGACAGATGAGCCCTGGGCCGTGCATTGCATGTGTGTCCGGCTCTCCTAGGAGCACAGAGAACAGGCCCTGAGGGGCCGTGGGGGCTCTTGGGCGGGGGCGTGGGGGAGGAGGAAGGAGAAAGGATTCCCGTGGGCTTTGTGCTGAGCTATTTTGGGGGTGCGGGGGGGTGCTAGTCCTTTCCCCCATCCCCTGTTCTGACTCCATGTGTTCCTGGGGTGACTCCCAGGGGGTGCTCCCTGGCTGGGCGGAGGGGGCAGCGCCCTCAGCAGCCCCCACTCGCTCCCAGGGGCTCCTCTCTCCCTCCCTCATCTATGGGCTTTGGCTGGAGCCACTCAGAACGAAACACTCCGGGGCGGGAGGTGAGCACTGAGGGCCTCCCTCTTCTTCCCCCACTTCCTCCCCACGTCTGCCTCGCCTGCCTCGCTGGAGACCAGCTCCAAGGCGACCGCAGGAAGCTAAGTGGAGTCCCTTGCGGCTGGGGAGGGCGTCCAAGGGCCCGGTCCCTGAACTTGAAGCGGAGGTTGGAGCCTGACCTTGACCTTGTGGTCTGACGTGCAGGCCTGCGAGGCAGGCGTGCAGGACCGTGGGCACGGTGCCAGAGGCTCGGAGCTCCTGTGTGCAGCCCCGTAGCCTCTTCTCACCTGGGACAACTGGCCCAACAGCAGGCAGCCGGCCAGAGGCTCCGCCTGACCCTCTAGAGAATGTATCAATGGAGAATGTTTTAAAAAGAGTCCCGACGTTTGGAAAGAACCTTAGCCCAAATATCAACAGGACAACGACTGATGTTTCTTTGGAGAGCCAACTGTTTTAAACGTAAACTTCTTCTTCGAACGCCACTTCTTCAGCATAGACTCGCCCAGGCCGTGGTATTTTGTGGAAGAGCCGCCCACCAGGGGCCAGAGAGCCGCAGATGGCTCGCGAGCCGCAGTTTGCCGACCACGGTTCTGGACTCTAACCGTAGCCTGCCTTTATGTAGCGCTCCCACGATAAGCACCGCACAGGTGGGATCCCCGTGCTAGTATGCCTCACCGCTGCCCCGTGTTAGGTACCCTCACACGTGACTTCCCTTTTACATGGGAAGCCTCGGAGGCTCAGAGAGGTTCAGGAACTGGCCTGAGGGCGCCCAGCGGGTCTCCGCCAGCGCCTGGATTCGAACCTAGGTCTCCTTCGGCTCCAATAAGGCTGCAGGGTCTTAAGGTTTTTAAGAGGGGCCTGGGATTTTTGACCATGAATACATATGCCTCAGTGGATTCATCGAAACGTCGTCATCATGGCCTTTGTAAAGTCAGCTTTGCAAATCGTTTTCAAAAGAGGACACCGCCACTTGGCAAAGACAATGCCGCTGCCCTCCAGCCGTCCACCCTCACCCCCGGGCTCCCTCCCCCGCCTGCACCCAGCGACCTCGGGGAAGGCAGACAGCGGGGACAGGCGGGCACAGGCGGGGACAGGCAGGCCTCCGAGGGCTCTGCCTTCTCTCCCCTCCGGTCCCTCCATCCCGAGGCCAGTTCTCGGAGAGGCAGCGAGCAGCTGGGATGTCTTCCCGGCGCCTGGCGAGCGCCAGAGCCCACGGGCCATTTGGAATCACACCTCGTTAGGAGACAAACTGTTCCTTCCCTGTCAGCTGCACTGTGTCCACCACGAGCCAGCCCTGAATCCATCCCAGATCCCACGGCGCAGCCTACGCCTGCCTTAAGCAGCCTGCCCTCGGACAGCTTGAGAGCAAAAGGGGGGCGCTTTTCATATGGCCCCCCGTCTCCACCGTCCCCTCCTCGCTGTCACAGGTGAAGCGACTCAGGCACAAGATGGTGTGGGACGGACTCTGGGTCTCAGAAACCAGTCACTTGGGCCTCTGAGCCCCAGGACGGCTGCTTTCTCGGCTCGGTGCCTCGCTCCTCCCGGCTGGGTCGGCCGCGTGCAGGCCAGGCCGCCCGGGGGGGGGGGGGGGGGGGGAGCCGGGGAATCAGTTTATCCTTGGAAAAGCCGGTGAACAGGAGCAAAATCCAAACCAGCTGTTTTCCTCCTTCCGGTCAAGCCTCCTTTCTCCGCCCCGTATCCATCCCTCCTCCCTCCCATCCATGTCCATAGTCCTCTCTACCTGTCCCCCCCGCTCCCCCAGGCCATCAAAATCTATCCAACACCTACACTTGGCCAGGCCCTGGGCTGGGCCCTGGGAATACAGGGCGATCCAAACCTACAACCTCTGTCCTCGTCAGCTCACTCATTGGCCAGTGGGAGAAACAGCCAATAATTCAAACAAGAAAACAACTGCCGAAACCAGTTTGGCTCAGTGGATAGAGTGTTGGCTTGGGGACTGAAGGGACCCGGGTTCGATTCCGGTCAAGGGCATGTACCTTGGTTGCGGGCACATCCCCAGTAAGGAAGAGTGTGCAGGAGGCAGCTGATGGATGTTTCTCTCTCATCGATGTTTCCAACTCCCTATCTTTCTCCCTTCCTCTGTAAAAAATTAATAAAATATATTAAAAAAAACAAAAACAAACAAGCAACCATTTTCTCCCAAATGGAAAGCAGCCTCTGTAACTGCCTCACGCACATTGGAGAGGATTCTGACACTTTCTTGGGGGGAGAGACGCTTAGGATGCGAGGGAGAGGTAGGCACTGGTGTGGTGGGAGGTGCGGAGGGGGGGCGCCAGGGGGAGGGGGGTGCAGTGTGGACGGGGGGGGGGGGGGGGAGGGAGCAGAGCAAAGGGGAGGGCCTGGAAGGGGAGGTACCTGCGGTGGAGCCGGTAGACTGATCATAGGGACACAGGATGGAGAGGAGGCAGGGCCGGACTCTGGGGCCCTGAGATCCTGGGACCCGGGACCCTGAGTGAAGGGGAAGCTCATACAACAGCGATGTGCTCAGATCTGCACGTTGAAACGATGCCTCATGCCCTGGGCCTGGGCCCTTCTGGTTGGGACCCAGCAACCCCCAAATGCGTGTGACGATGCCTGAACTCTGGGAACAAAGGTCGACCCTGAGGGGCGTGGACTGCCTGCTGGAGAGAGATTGCAGGCTCCCCAGGCCTCCTCCGGGGAGGGGTTAGCGGGAAGCCAGCTCGGGGGCCGTTCCAGCAGCACAGAGGCTTTGGCGCCTTGCTCTATTGACGGAACTTAATTGTAAATATTATTCAGACGCACCTCCCCGTGCACAATTATGTTCCTCAGGGGAGCCCTCTGCGCACACCATAAAGCCCCATCAATAATACGCGGATTAACCGGCCCGGAGCGAGGCCTGTTAGTGCTTCCCCGGGCGGGCGGGGCTGTGGGGATCTGTGCAGGCGGCTTGGACGTGGGTGTCACCTGGAGGTAACTGAGACGTGTCCTGGGGGATCTTCCAGAGTCTCCCCTCCTACTCCACTCCCACCCCAGGAGAGGGGGATACCCCGAGGCACGTCAGCCAGCTGCTGCCCTGGAGACAGGGCCGGTGGGCTGTGGGTGCGAGGTGAAGGGAGGAGGAAACACAGGCCTATAGGGCACGTTCCCGTGCTCAAGGCTTCAACCACAGCAACAACAACAACAATAATACCAGCAGGTAATCTGAACTGAGCATGTCCGAGGCCGGGAACCTCCAAGCACGTTCCTTCCATTTTCTCATTGAATCCCTTGGCGACCTCTGTGGGAGGGACCCTGACGATCTCCATGTTCCGATGAGGGAATGGGGGTTCAGCGAGGGGAAAGGATTTGCTCAATGTCACCCAGCTAATTAGGGACACAGCTAGGATTTGACCCCCACCCGCCCCCCCAGGGTAGCGTTGGACTCTAAAGCAACCTGCACATCTCAGCTGTGCTCCGAGCAGACTCCTCCGTGGGACGAGGAGAAAGGCGCGCGACAAAATCTCCGGTGTCTGATTTTGGGGAGCGGGGAGAGGGGGGTATGGGGGGTTGCTTTCTCCTTGGGAAGGAGGGAAGGGTGTCTGGATGGGCTGGTCACTTCCACACCACCCTGGGAATCTTGGGAATTTTTAGAGTTTTAGGAGAGACTCTGCTTCATCCAATGCGGCCCTTCCCGTCCGCCCATTTTACAGATGGTGAAACTGAGGCCTTTTTATTTTTATGCAAATAAGATGGGGACCTCCTGCCTCACTGACTGCTGTGAGGATATGAAAATGCTCATGGAGGCGCTTTTAAAGCATCATCCTGCTAGAGACCTGGGCATTCACCAAGCCACCCTCTTCACGTCTTGGTTTGTGGACAAGGCCTTTGGTGCCGATCTGCCCTGAAGGACTCCAGCCTAGGGTGTTTCCAGCAGAATTCTGACTGAAGGGGTTGGAGGGGAGGGGCGGGCGCTGGAGATCTTAGGGAAACCTGGCACAGGGAGTCACAAACGTCACCCTTAAAACTGTCCTTGATATCAGGACCTCGGTGCTGGTTCGGAGGCTGACTTTCTGTGTTAAAAACTCACTTGTCTTGCCCTGGCTGGTGTGGCTCAGTGGATAGAGCGTCGGCCTGCGGACTCAAGGGTCCCAGGTTTGATTCCGGCCAAGAACATGTACCTTGGTTGC